TAGCGGTTACCAAATTATGAGCAAATATGCTGACAAAATTGTACAGCCCCAGCGAGTTAACGCTCCATAGAGCGTCTTGTTAGTTTAATAATATTGAGCGATTGACAACAATACAATTTCGCTCGGCTTTCAAAGACAAAGGCCATAAATCGCTAGAACATTCTTGTTTAGTAATACATTTGACATTCGGAATTAGTACAATTTCTAACGCTGAATCGAACGGTGGTATTCTTATCCTTATTGGGCCATTAGGCATTACAAATACAAGGACATACCTGTGGACAAATGTAGTGCGAGTGATTTGTGATCAACAATACAATTTCGCTTCATTTTAAAAGGCCACAAATCGCTAGAATACGGGTGTCTAGTAATATACTTGACATCCGTAAGTACAATTTCTTACGCTGAATCGAACGGTATCACTTTGTTCTCAAAATATAAAGCAGCGCAGTCAAACGTATAAACTTGCTTTTATAAACTTGCGATTTGCGAAGGTTGCTGTTTCCATGCGAAATTCCTTGTAAAATTGTTCAATTTTCCCGAATTTGCCTCAAAATGGAGGGCTATTTATGGATAATTTGGGTAAAATTGGCAGGAGCCTTATGGATAATTGAGGCAAAATTAGGCAGCTCATTAATATTCTTTTTTGTGGCTATCGACGATTGGAGATCCAGGATCCGTGAAAAATGCAAGCCGAAACCTATACTCGTTTGGGGCACAGGGTGCCCCAGCGAGTAAAAATTAAATGATTTCAAACAGGTCAGGCTTTGATAAGATGTTTTGTAATCTTAAGAACTCTGTAAAACACCTTCCAAAATGCAGGGAATGGCGTTTCCGATTGTTTAGATTTCGGGTTAGGGGCATGCACCCAGACCCTTCTAGGAGTCTTGTGCCTTCAATGTTCGGTCATTTTTCGGCCACCTACTGTACTTGTAAACTCAATGACAGCACTGCTTCAAAAGAGTAATATGCAATAATTTGTACATATGAAGTTTGTGATGTTATTCTGCGTGTATATCCACACCGGGCGAGCTTGAAAAATATGCCCGGCCACGGTGGGAATCGAACCTATGACCTTTGGAATACTAGCCCAATGCTCTGCCAACTGAGCTACGCGGTCAGGACGGTTCGAGTAAGTGATATTTCGGAACAGAATCTAGTTCCTTCGATACCAATGTAATCTTCAAATATGATTTTTTTCTGTGTTGGTGTTGTGTACTCAGGTGAATATGAAGTTTGTGATGTTACTCTGAGTGTATATCCACACCGGGCGAGCTTGAAAAATATGCCCGCCACGGTGGGAATCGAACCTACGACCTTTGGAATACTAGCCCAATTAATTGGCAGAGCATTGGGCCGGGCATATTTTTCAAGCTCGCTCGGTGTGGATATACACTCAGAGTAACATCACAAACTTCATATTCACCTGAGTACACAAGATCACACAACAGCAACACAGAAAAAATCATATTACAAGATAACATTGGTATCGAAGGAACTCGATTCTGTTCCGAAATATCACTTACTCGAACCGTCCTGACCGCGTAGCTCAGTTCGCAGAGCATTGGGCTAGTATTCCAAAGGTCGTAGGTTCGATTCCCACAGTGGCCGGGCATATTTTTCAAGCTCGCTCGGTGTGGATATACACTCAGAGTAACATCACAAACTTCATGTTCACCTGAGTACACAACACCAACACAGAAAAAAATCATTTTACAAGATTACATTGGTATCGAAGGAACTAGATTTTGTTCCGAAATATCACTTACTCGAACCGTCCAGATCGCGTAGCTCAGTTGGCAGAGCATTGGGCTAGTATTCCAAAGGTCATAGGTTCGATTCCCACCCTGGCCGGGCATATTTTTCAAGTTCGCCCGGTGTGGATATACACTCAGAGTAACATCACCAACTTCATTTTCACCTGAGTACACAACACCAACACAGAAAAAAATTAGTTGTACATATGTTATAAAGTAATTATTAAAACAGATTATAAATAAATAGGTGAACAATAAGACTAGAACAATATATTACCTTAGTTGAATGGTTTGTAAAAATTTATACTAATATATACAGTAAATCACTATTACACAAAATTTTGTTTCACTTCAAATATACAAGACATTGGTAGGCTCAACTTTGAGTTATCGTAGTTTGAGAGACAACAACGGCTAGAATCAGAGCACACTGACTTAGTGAATAAGTACACTTATTCACATCTTCATAAGTACACTTATGAATTTGGTACCCACAGGGCTGAGGGCCCCTACCCTGCAACATAAGCAAGTGGTCCAAGCTCTTCTGATTTCAATGATAATTACTAGTAGAATTCAGACATTAAAAAATATTTCTGGGTATATAATCCTTTGCACATAGGTAAAATCTTCTGGCATCCAACAGTTGGTCTACAAAGCGTTTGGAGAGGAATAAGAACTAAGTTTAATACTCTTACATCAATATTGTACTATACAGAGGAAATATCAAAATTTGATATTTCCTCTGTATGATATTTCCTTTGATATCTCCTTTGTCTTATTATAAGACTTGGTCTTGGGAACTGTGGGATGGCATGAAATATTAGGGAATCTTGGAATAACATTTCTATTTTGATGTGACAGAATGATCAAAACTAACAAATCACATGTTAGTAGACATGGAATCACTGTATAGTGGGTCAATATCTGGACTTGTAATTGACAATTGGACGTAAGCCTTAGGGCCTACTATTTAAGACATTCGTATCTAGGTTATATTGTCTATATATACAGTATTAAAATATTTACTGGTATTAAAGCATGTCGTTTCTTCAGTGTTTATAATAACTTTAGAATATCTGCTGGTTAGCAAAGTCAACCGTTCGGGCATATTCACCAGCATCAAAAGCACAACTTTATCTTCTCTGCATGGATGAAAATATTCTTTCCTTTTCCCTACTTCTCAAATGATCGACAATGCCTTCTCATATGTGTGATAAGTCATATATTTAAATATCGGTTTTGATTTTCCCCTTGGCAGTACTAGCTGTAGAATTTGTCGAGTGCTTAATACTGCGTTGATATTCGCACGGGAATTGCTTTAATCCTTCAATCAAACGACAAATATAAGTCAAATATTAAGTCTAAAGCCTGGCGCACACGATGCGATATTGGTCGGCAGATAAAAATCGTTTGACCAAAACTAACAAAATCGTTGTGTGTGCGGTGTCATTTTTAACCGATTTTTGTTGCTCGATCTTAATCGGACAACATCAAAACGTTTTGATATTATAGGATTTTTATCGGTGGAATTTTAAGTATAACCAATCAGATTTCATGCTGTGATCACGTGCTTGTATTTATTTAGCAACATGGCGGCTACAGTTCAGGGAGCATATTTTTTTCATAATCGTGTGCGGAGTATACCGATGTATATCGGTATGTCAAACGAGTTTTATCGACCGACTAAAATCGCATCGCGTGTGCCAGGCTTAATTTTAAAATTTATAAACGTGACGTATCCATCCAACATCTGAAATTAATTAGCTCGAAAGCCTTCGAAGTTTGCCGGCCTTCCAAACCCTGTCCTCTATTAACTATGCACTAACCATCTGGGCCACGAGAGCACGTCCCGATAACGCTCCTATTATTTTCGAAACTTGTTCTTTCGGAAGATTAGTACTAGACTAGCGGATAATAGAAGGGAAATGGTCTGAATTCATTGATCTCTGGGTTATGCGCCCAGAAGGCTTCCACTGCGCCACACTGTTTCTTTCGCAGAATCATCCGAACAACGTAAAAGAAATTTAGATAATGTTAAACATGAGGTTCTGCTGAAGATTCTGCCGAGACTTGATTGCAGATAGTTGGATCCACAGTCCAAAGTGCTAACCATTACACCACAAACTTTTGAAGGATTGTGGACTCATATTATTGAACAAATGTTGCTATACTTTGTTTTGGTAGCGTGGCCGAGTGGTCTCTGGCGCTGGTTTTAGGCACCAGTCATTTCGATGACGTGAGTGCGAATCCCACCGCTGCCAGTTGTTTAACAATTCGTCGCCTCTCTTTTGAACCCGGATGTATGTCACCTTGGAGACGTCTTGTATTTGGAGTATACATGGCAGACAATCCATGTTGCATACAATTTATTAAATGCATCTAAAACATTAAATGCATCTAAATTAAATGCATCTAAAACATTACTATTAATTTATATAATACGAACATTCCCACTTCTTTTTCTCTCTTGTAAATATAGTGTATATACTTAAAAACTTTCGGATTTTACATATTATGTATTGATTGACTGTAAATAATCGATTATGTGATAAAACGAACAGTAACTAGAGACCTAAAATAAAAAGTCTATGAAGATTTCTAGCCCAAAATTTTCAAATTATTGTAATATATTTTAAGTAGATTTTTATACATGGGAAAATAAATTAAAAAAAACAACTTGTAATGAAGCCACCACACCAATTCGATGAAATAGATTGTAAAACAGCCAAAAAGTGCCACACTAAACTATAGAGCCTACTGGCCACATAACCCATAAATCAAAAGCTATTGTTATTGTTGAGCGTGGATGCATGCAGACGTCATCCACGGATTTTTGTCAAACTTTTTCTCAAAACTGATTTCGTAAATCATGTGGAGATTAGGGCGAATTGCTGCGGTGATCTTGATGGTTAGGGAAGGATTGCTAAAAACGTGAATAATAATAGCAGGAAATGATCACGATCTGCTTGACCTCTGGGTTATGGGCCCAGCAATTATTGAGTGCACAAGAGTGCATATGTCACCCTATAGCGTTTTGGTTAAAATTGTTTTCAAAACAACAGGTTTCATAAACAATATGGCGATTAGGACGAATTGCTGTGGTGGCTTTGTTTGCTAGTGTATCGTTGGTGTACGAATTTTTTCAAAATAATAAGTTTTCGCAAATAATAAGAACATTTAATAAGACGAATTGCTGCCGTGGCTTGTTGGTTAGAGAAAGATAGGGATGGATGGCTAAAAACTTGCTCTCGGAGGGGATGGAACCCTCGACCTTCGCATATATAATTCAAGTACTGCTCATAAGTACGACGCACTAACCAACTGGGTCACGAGAGCAGGTCCCAATAACCCTGTTATTATTTTCGAAACTTGTTCTTTCGGAAGATTAGTACTAGACTAGGGGATAATAGAAGGGAAATGGTCTCGATTCATTGATCTCGGGATTATGCGCCCAGCACGCTTCCACTGCGTCACACTGCTCCTTGCGCTGAATCATCCGAACAACGTGCAAAAAATTTAGATAATGTTAGACATGAGGTTCTGATGAAGTTTCTGCCGAGACTTGATTGCAGATAGTTGGATCAAGAGTCCAAAGTGCTAACCATTACACCACAAACTTTTGAAGGATTGTGGACTCATATTATTGAACAAAAGTGGCTACACGTTGTTTCGGTAGCGTCACCGAGTGGTCTATGGCGCTGGTTTTAGGCACCAGTCATTTCGATGACATGGGTTCGAATCCCACCGCTGCCAGTTGTTTAATAATTCGTCACCTCTCTTTTGAACCCGGATGTATGTCGCCTTAGAGACGCCTTGTATTTGGAGTATACATGGCAGACAATCCATGTTGTATACAATTTACGTTTATTTTTGAGGTTTCTCTTATATCATTCCATTTGCAAAAACTAAGCCGGTTCAAGATCTACCAGCAATTTAAAAATCTCTTCCAAGAACACTAATCAATATATTAGTCGTGAATCACATTGGTATCTTCATTCTAAGCCCGCGTGCATGCCCAAGCGACCTTGCGAGCTCTCTCCTTGATGACTTGAGTTGTTTGCCTGTCTGATAACAGACAAAGTAACATATGACTATATACGGCTTAATAAATGTTTTTAAAGCTTTTTTTCAGTTCCGGTCAGATTCGGTTCCAGCCGGCAGGGCCTTTTTTAACATACAAGCTGGGGGGCATTTGCCCCCGCAGTCCCCCCTTGTGCCCCCCCACGAAATCACATTTTGCCCCCCCCAGGAAAAGTCCCTTTTTCCTAAAATTATACAAACAATCCAGCGAAGATTAACAAATAGATAAACGGAAAGTAATTTTAGGCTTTATCCTTTGTTCTTGTTTATCAAAATCGATTTAAATTGTTACTTTTTTTTACCACTAAGCCATGATAAATTATTTTTAATATTTTTTTTATTTTTTGGATGCTCAGAATGCAGGAAATAGCATTTCACGGTTTCAAATTTCAAAAATTTTCTTGGGATTATCCCTCCGAATAAGTAATGATAAATTACAGTTAATATTCTTTTTTACTTTTTGTGCATTTTTCCATCTTTTATTTCAAATACAACTATAGTTAGCATAAATTTTAGAGCAAATTTGGATGCTCAGAATGCAGGAAATGGCATTTCCGTGGTTCAAATTTCATAAATTTTCTGGGGGAGTACACCCCCACACACCTGACCATTGCTATCCTCGAGGCTATCCTCCTCTAATAAGTAATGATAAATAATGGTTATTTTTTTTTTACTTTTTGTGTGTTTCTTCCTTTATTTATTTCAAATACAAGTATAGTTAGGATAAATTTTGGAGCAAATTTGGATGCTCAGAATGCAGGAAATGACATTTCCGGGAGTCAAATTTCAAAAATTTTCAGACCCCCCATTCATGCGTGGTATATTTGCCACACACGTGGCTTTCAGCCATTGCCATCCCCCTCTAATATATTATCTCACAGAAAGGTCCCTTTTCAAAAAATGCCCCCCCCCACGGGAAAATCCTTAAAAAAGGCCCTGCCAGCCGGAACTTAAAAGATTGATTCCGGTGCACCCTTAATCGATATCTAACTAGATAATACATGCATGCAGAAACCCTCGCCTTCTGACAAAACCATTGTATTTTTCCAAGTGAAAAATCCACCTAAAAATATCACTTTAATTAAAATTGCCAATTTCCCAAACATATTTTTGTTAGGCATGTTATTATTCGTAATATAAGCTTCAATTTGAGGTAAAATTCAACCACAAACGCTTCACAAGACGTTTTAAAGTGTTCTTTATAAAACTAAACTGCCTTTTGACTTTATCGATAAACTTTGAGTTTGAAATAATTAAAAATGATTTCAAATTCTCGCATGTAAATGTAACTTTGCTTTCTTTTTTATTTAAAAAAATTAATATAATAAAAAAGGGTAGTCAATATAGTATACACTGAAATTATATGCTGTCTTGTTTCGTTTATACGCAACGTTTATACGATCGGCTTTTAAAGCAATTATAAAGCAAACAATACATTTATATTTAAAACAAACTTACCTTCGTTAACGTCGGCGCTTTTGCTCCCCCTTTTTTTAGCCGATTCTTTCGCCCTTTTTTCTTAAAAAGCTTTTCAAATTCACAAAATTTTGCAAAAATGAAATACATTTGCAAGAAATCACCAAATCAAGAAATGTTTGCTATTTCGCTGTCGTCATGCAGTCGTTATAATGCAAATTTTAAATTTACCAATCAGTGTTCGCTATTCATGACAGTCCGCCATATTTTTGAGATCAGTGATGATGACCACCCACCGTTGTTCACCCACGCCCGCGATCATTGATGAACTTTAGACTTCGCTAATGTTTTCGTCTCCCCAGGTGTAAATAACCGGGGGAATTAGTACCCTCGCCTCGGGCTTACGCCCGGAACGGCGCTCCGCGCCGTTGGCTCGGGGAATATACTTAACAATGTTATTGATGAAGGGAAAATAGGTACGGATACTAGTTACATTTTTGCAGTGATTCTTGCGACTCTATAGTTTTAACTCGACTGTATTTTTTTTATTTTTCAAGGGAGTAGATGTAGTAGTAAGGAGGAATTAAGAAAATGGGGTGACTGGGAAATCATCAGGGCCACTGCAGAGTCGTGCCTTGATAATCTAATAAAGTCTGTTGAGAATGGGAAGGTTACAGTTGCCACACTGATGGACCTAGAAAAACATGTTAGTCAACTTTTAAAGCTGTGTGAGATACACCAGAAGAACCAAAATGTTTCATTATCAGTAAGGAATTCTTTTTCACAACGACTTTCTGAACTGAAGGCTTTCCTCAGATGAAGAGACCATCTGCAATGTTTTATTCACTTCAGCGACAAATTCACTTCAGGTATACCAGTCATCAATCCTTTTTCAGAGTAGTCCCAATACAAATAATATGTACTTGTAAGAATTACAATCAATAAGTTATTTGACAATTCGACAACGAGACCAAGTTGTCTATCCATAGACCACGATTATGAGTTGTCTAATTGTTTTAGTATACACTCCTACTCAAAATACAAACTGCAAGCACAATTTGAAAGATTTAAATAAAATTTAACACCACGCACGAGCGTTCGAATGATCTTTTTCAACCATCGCATGCTTCGCCTGCGGCGTTTTTGTTTACTTTTTGCAAACAACCCTGCGAAGAGTTTTAAAACCGATCCAATAGCAGTCATGACATTAAGGAAAAATATATAAGCGAAGTTCTAATAATTACGAAACAAGACTTAAAAGTCCAGAACTTTTGAAACTGTAAACAATATGATTACTTTTCATAAACAGCGTGTCGTTCCTAGACCTGCTAGTAGGTTAGAAACACGTTTCCCTGTCATGCTTGGAACCTGAAGAATTCATGACATTGTTTCTCTTTTTGAAACAATCTATGGGCAAAGTTGCAGTAGCTTACCTCTGCAAAAACTGCAATTTTGGTTTCATCTTTGATTATAGCACCGGGTTTTGCGCAATTCAACCTAGTTTTTTTCTCAAACTTTTATTCGTATTCCATCTTATCATCGTATCTTATTAACTAACTAAATATTCTCAATGACTAACCAGCAATTCCTAAACCTATACCGCTCCGAACTATAAACAAGCAAACATATGTAGACGAACAGAACTACTTACATCAATCAATGGCGACATATTCTACCCTCTTAATTTAAGCAATGGCCCACGAAAATGAAATTGAAATTCTGGAACAAACTTCTCAGCGACAATGACTGTTTTGAACTTTTTCTATTTTCCATTGGCAATGGAGGATCACCTCACGTTACAGCAGAGTGGATTCAAACATCGAAAGTTTGAGCAGAGTATAGTAAAATGGAGAAAAGAGCTAGGCAGTTAGACTTTATTTTCACCAATAAAGAAGCCAAAGCGAAGTTATGGTTCTATTTTGATATATACCATTCGGACTGGAGATTCATTGATGGTACTAAAAGACAATACAAGTGAACATCCAGTCATTATAATCCTACATATAACATTTTATACAGTTCAAAAAAGAAAAAATTGTTTGCTTATCATTAATACAATACAATTTTATTCAAATGGTCTCAATGTGTGATATAGTAGAACGAATTATTGGTTTCATGAAAATGCAATTACTAACCTCAAATGTTGAGACACCATACAATCGACCTATACAATTTGTGTGCTATGCATTAACTTAAACATAAACAAATAATTAATCAAAAATCTTATAAATATTGATTTTGAATAACTATCACACTTGATAATCATTTCTATAATTATAACTTTTTTACCTCAACCCTGATTTTTACCCCTTTCTTCCCTAATCCTATCTTCTTCTAATCCTTTCTTCTTAACCCTTTCTATATTACCAACCCTAATCCTAAAAATTAATCCTAACCATTAACCCTAATACCAATCTTAATACCTAACCATAACTTATATTGATGTTTTCATAAGAACATAAACCTAGTATTCTATGTTTCATCTGAACTAACTACATTTATACTTCCCTACATAATGAAAGAACGAATAATTCATTTTAATTATATATAAAATTCTGTAATACATTATTACTTTTCATACCATCAAACCCAATTAATTTAATTGATTAATTTACATACGTATAATTTGTATATATAAAATATTCATATTTAAATACGTAATCCTTATACTTACACTAATTATAATTCTATAAATGGTGTATTATATGTCTATAGAATTTTATTTTATGATTTTAACAAAGCGAAAATAAACTGCTTAGCACAAACACTGATCTAAAGCAGAAATCACTCGCTCATTACAAGTACATTGACGACTTACAGACTAACAATAAACGGACTAACTATTAACATGTCATTGATTCAATTCAATGATAATTCGGGAACCCCGTTAAAGGGATCCCATTCGAATATCTACCATCTCATATCATTTTATTAAAAAATAGTTGTATTTGGAGTATACATGGCAGACAATCCATGTTGTATACAATTTACGTTTATTTTGGAGATTTATCTTATTTCATTCCATTTACAAAGACTAAGCCGTTTCAAGATCTACCAGCAATTTAAAAATCTCTTCAAAGAACAATAATCAATATATTAGTCGTGAATCACAATGGCATCTTCATTCTTGGATTTGGTGGATAGAGTACGACAAGCAATGGACAATTGAAATAAATAGTAAAGGTTGTACAGTCTATAAGCACCACGTACTAACAAACAGGACGACGGTAGCAGGTTGTGAGAAAGGACTTATTATTTTCGAAAATTATTGTATTCAGAAGGAAATGGTTGGTGGCATCAGCATGCATAAGCGCTCCACAATAACAATAGCATGAAATGGTTTCGATCCATTGACCTCTGGGTTATGGGCCCAGCAACCGTCCACTGCGCCACTTTTGCTTGTTGCTGCATGGAAACAGCCAGTTGTATATATTTTCCAAATCTAGAAAATCAGGAAGCAACATATTTCCCTTAAACTTGCAATGAGTCACTGCACCAATTCATTGGAATAGATTTTAAAACAGACAAGAATGTGCTACAATAAACTATAGAGCCTACTGGCCACATAACCCAGCAATCAAAAGCTATTGTTATTATTGAGCGTGGATGGATGCAGACGTCACCCACGGATTTTGGTCGAACTTTTTCTCAAAACAACAGATTTCGTAAATCATATGGAGATTAGGGCGAATTGCTGCGGTGGTCTTGTTGGTTAGGGAACGATTGCTAAAAACGTGCTGCCGATGAGGATCGAACCCTCGACTTTAATAATAATGATAATAATAGCAGGAAATGATCACGATCTGCTTGACCTCTGGGTAATGCGCCCAGCAATTATAGAGCGCACAAGAGTGCATATGTCACCCTATAGGGTTTTGGTTAAAATTGTTTTCAAAACAACAGGTTTCGTAAATAATATGGTGATTAGGACTAATTGCTGCGGTGGCTTTGTTGGCTCTGCCTCGTGCCCAGGCACTTTAAATAATTACAATACATGAAGTATTCAGGCAGGTAGGCGACGCGTGAAGGGGCTGTTGGGAAGGGTGCGTGCTGGGGAGCGCCTGGCAGTTCTTGTATACTGTCATGGCGGAAAAACATGGTATTGAATACAAAACGTAACCATATCGTCATATACTCTGTGTGTAAGACCTTATTTTTTGACGAAGAGTCGAATTGAACGCCATTGGAAAATGATAATAAATTTGTAGATGTTTGATGACATGCAAAATGCCCGAAAAATTATGAGTAAATTACATGGCAAGTTTACCGTGCGAATATTTCGAATATGTCATTCGGTATTACATGGAGAATAATAGAATGCTATCAGTTGCTTAGTATAAAATGCTTTTGTATTAATAACTTCTTTAGCTGAAGGCTCGATCAGTCGATCACAATGCCAATGGCAATTTCTTTTAAAGGTATACTGTAAACTACCCTGGATTCCAGAGCCTTCGAAGTAAATAATAAATTGAAATGTCTCGAAGGCTCTGGTTCAACGGGGCGATTCTTTGATTAAACCGCGCCAATCACAAAACAGAATTAGTGGTTTTAGTACAGATTCTGTACTTAACTCGCCCTATCTCGCAATAGAAATTGATCGAATTTTGCCTAACTCGCCCAATCTCGCCTTATCTCGCAATGAGAAGTTGACAGAATTTTGCTTAACTCGCCTAAACTCGCCCTATTTTGCAATAAAAACCGGCACAGTTTCACGTCAGTAAAACACAAATACTGTCAATCAAAATTCTTTAGACTCACAATACTCACTTATATATTCTATGAGTTTGGCATTGCAACTGACATCAACATACAAGTATGTAAGCCTGATTATCTGAAATGTTATCATATTTTTAATTTACTACATTCTCTGTAATGCCATAAAGCTGTATTGATCAAATAATTCCACCAACTACTCTACTTTAATACAGTAAGCAGGCCTTAGCAGGCATACTGTATACAGTAATACCCAGTATTGAATAAATCACAGTGAAAATAATTGAACATAATAACAGAACCCAAACTGCCAAGTATGGTTGAAAATTAATATTGCCATATATACTAATATACAGATCACTTATCTATTCCATTTCAACTATACAATGATATCAAAACATCAAAAGTACTTGCTTAGCTTTTATGCAGCTATCACATGACTATCAAATTTTACTAAAATACTGTTATACTTATAGTATAAAGGTCTCTGTGATATCAACAGCTCAAACTGCAAAGTTATTCGTTGAACTGTTTTTATATACAACCGGCAACAGAGCTACTGAACCAACGATACGCGCAGAATTTTAGGAGAAATATTTTAATACACAATCACATTCACAAAATTCGTGAAAATATAGATTTACAGTAAAAGCAAAGTTACAGGTAAATATTGCAGTAAACATACCGTGCTTTCCTGTCTGTGATCAACATTAAATTTAGTAGAAACAATCTGTAGTGACAAGGCTTTTTGAATCTCATTTTAATATCATAATAGTAATACATGAATAACATGATAAAAGACCTTAAAATGTCGATGCATATCCCGCCATATTGCGTTTGCGGAATCGAATGATTCTGACTTATAGACTGCGTAGACTCCCCCCGACCACAGAGGAATTACCGCGATGATGGGAAGGAAGATTCCGTTTACCAGGGGGGCGGGATGCTGTCTGGGAACAGATATTGAAAATATTGCTCCCTTCAGCGGAAAAATTACAATCTGCTTGCAATACTTAGTGTTAGTGTTAATGAGAGGCAGTGAATTCTGAATATAGAAGCTTGATAGGAAATAGGAATATATATTATTAAACAATAATACAGTTTTATACAGAGGAATCATTGTCATTTACATTCATTTACGTTTCCAAAGCAAGTAAGTTGGGCATTAATTTTAGTATTATGACCGTTGGTTATCATTTAATATATCATTGTGGTTCGAAATTTCGTTAATTAAAATAGTAATTATTAATTTTAAAGTGCTAAATTTAATAGTAAATAATCTATAATTTCCTAGCAAGCTTTTTAGTTTCTTTTTGTTTCATATCAATGTTTATATTAAATTAAATTAAAAATTGAATACAAGGACTGCTGCTTGCAAACAAATTCGAACCTAATTGATAATGTCATGATTCATGAAAACAGCTAAAAATTACAAAATATGTGGTGAAGCTAGTCATAGCAAGTTAGCAACTGATACTGTGAAGATTTAGGATGTCTGTGCCCCATATGACATAACATCATTGTACATCTCAAAAGTACAGCGATTAGAATGCTCTGCGAACGAAGTATTTCAGCCCCATTTTGTTCACACAACATATAATGACATTATAGAACAATTAAGTTTCATTAAAATTCTCAAAGTTAATAATTAACGGAATATGAATATTATTTGTTATGTCATATTGCATTCTTAATCACAAAGGTTTTATACGTTGTTTGTTTCTACAAATTTTGGCAGAGCACTAGTAGGTTATTTGAGAGGTTATAGTCCGTCAATAAAGATAGGTATCGCAAAGTGTTTTACGCTAGATATGTGACTATTTATACAATTTGGCATCTGGCTACCAGCCTCGTTTTGATGCAACTTGTTTCCAGGTCCCGAGTTATTGTGCATATCATGTATGTACTGTAGAATATAGAATAAAACACTTTTCTAGGCCTGCTACTTCAAGTACTGCATACTTGCTTTGCATAATACAAGTACTGCATACTTGCAAAGCAAAATACATAGTGTGTATACAATATCCAGATTCATCCTTAACTCGCCTTATCTCGCCTTAACTCGCATAGGCTCGCCTTATCTCGCGGCGAGTTAAGGTCCCAGAGCAGGCCTGTGTAATTTAACCTGGCGAAATTGAATAAATAAATAAATACTTTCCAAACAAAGAACTTGCTTAGTTGGTTCGGCTTCAGTACAGTATGTTGTTATGAAATGCGCTATTTAGAACAACGAATTCCAAACAAGCAAGAAATGCATTGAAACTCGAGCATCCTCGAGCATCTTCGTTCGAGTTTCCGTTGAAATTATCAACTTTGCTTCTATGGCCTGCCAGCATGTGAATGACAAAAAGAACACAAACGCGCGCATAATCGTCAATTTGACAAGAAGTATTCCTCGAAGTATTCAATACAAATTATACAATGACAAATTGCGATATAAAGTGCTCTCAAATTACACTTTTTGCAATTCAAAACAAAACGTCCGCTCCTTGCCAACGAATTTTACTATTGCAAAGTGGAAGCATTGTAATTTAGATTTGTCCATCCCTCCCTTGGTAATTTAATATCCTGGGAGCCACGTGACCAGCAGGCACCAGGGTCTTTCCGCAGCTTGGGGCGTGCGAAAGTAAGAGCCTGGGAACGAGGTTGCCGTAAAGTTTGAAATATTTATTACAACAGTGCAATTTTATAGTGTGTTCCTTTATGTAGTTATAGCTTACAAATTGAGTTCCTGGAAGTCTATTTCTTCAACGCTTCGGTTGTTGACATGTTAATATTGGAATTTCCATGGACTTTACAGTGAAAATACAAAAAGTGTCCCACTTCCGCTTCTGTAGTTTGTTGTCATTTACTGTAATTTGTTCTGTTTTTCTGTAGCGATTACCGATTTATCGGCAAATACTGCGATAAAAATTAAATTTCGTACCTTTTATGCAATGAAACTAACGAAAAATGTATTATTTCCCTTTGCTACAAATTATCACACTCAAAAAGTAGAGAAAACTAAGTTTTATCGCGGTATTTGCCGATAAATCGGTAATCGCTACAGAAAAACAGAACAAATTACAATAATTGTTTTTGTTTGTGGAAACACCACGTAAATTTATTACTGCAAAGCTTTCGATCCGTAAGCCCGGATCTTCATGAAGATCCGGGCTTACGGATCGAAAGCTTTGCAGTAATAAATTTACGTGGTGTTTCCACAAACAAAAACAATTATATTTTATCACCATGCAAACATTCAAAGAACTTAAATTACAATAAATCACAACAAACTACAGAAGCGGAAGTGGGGAACTTTTTGTATTTTCACTGTAAATAAGGCATATGTCATATATACCAAGAACAACAGCATGAATTCACGCCCAGATGACAAAAGAGTATTAACATTAGTCAATTCAACAAAAACAAGCAGCAAAAAATCGTAAACGACGACGAAATATCACAACTTGCAAGAAATCGACTTTCTTGCACGAAATCGACCAAGAACTGCCAAGCGTCTCGCAGTTCAAGTGCACTCTTCTCATCAGCCCCTTCGCCACAGAATAAGCCACACAGAAGGGCACCCTGGCCGCCATCTACCTAGCCAGTCGATTACATTTTCTGGCCAATAAACGCGCTGTATTGGCTGAAGGCCCCGCCTTCTGGCCAGTCAACTGCATATTTTTGCATAGAAAAATAGCGACACGTTGCACCACTGAGTGGCCCTTCTGGTACTGATCTTTATTCTGTGCCTTCGCCCATCTATCCCCACTACAATACTTCATGTAAACTCGTCCTATGCGCATCACTGTTTTTTTACAAAGAGACGCCTGAGTACGAGGCAGGACATTTAATAAGACGAATGGCTGCCGTGTCTTGTTGGTTAGAGAAAGATATGGGTGGGTGGCTAAAAACTTGCTCTCGGAGGGGATTGAACCCTCGACCTTCGCATATCACTCAAGTACTGCCTATAAGGGACCGGTCATTATTTATGGTGGGGGGTGGCACCGAAGAGAAATGTTTTTCATGGCAAAAATTTTGCTGACCCAACCATTAAAAAGTAAAAAATTTGACTACCCAACCTCAAATATCAATCAAAAAATAAATACTCACCCCTGGCCAAAAACTTTACAAACAGTACCATTCAGTTGTCACACATGTCCCTTGCCACTTCTGCGACATGAGTTTGACAATGGATTGTGAATTTTTTTGCAGACTAAAGTTTTATGTTGTCTGCACATGTACTTTCTTTGGAGACACCATTTATCTCCCAACAAATTGAAAAACAGTGATCAAGATAGTGACTCCGATTGATTCACATATTGTATTGACATTGCTTTTTAGTCTCCAATATTTCAGTGAGTCATGCTTTGGAAATTATTATTACCCAACCCTTGAGTTGTTTTGTTTTTCATTTACCCAACCTTTTACTCACTCAAAATTTTGTTTACCCAACCCTTTTCTCTTCGGTGCCACCCCCTGCCATAAATAATGACCGGTCCCTAAGTACGACGCACTAACCAACTGGGCCACGAGAGCACGTCCCGATAACGCTGCTATTATTTTCGGAACGTTTTCTTTCGGAAGATTAGTACTAGACTAGCGGATAAAAGAAGGAAATGGTCTCGATTCATTGATCTCTGGGTTATGCGCCCTGGAGGCTTCCACTGCCCCACACTGTTCCTTTCCCTGAATCATACGAACAACGTCAAAGAAATTTAGACAACTTAAACATGAGGTTCTGTCGAAGATTCTGCCGAGACTTGATTGCAGATAGTTGGATCCACAGTCCAAAGTGCTAACCATTACACCACAAAATGTTGAAGGATTGTGAACTCATATTATTGAACAAAAGTTGCTATAAAAGTTGCGTGGCCGAGTGGTCTAAGTCGCTGGTTATAGGCACCAGTCATTTCCATGACGTGTGTTCGAATCCCACCCCTGCCAGTTGTTTAATAATTCGTCACCTCTCTTTAGAACCCGGATGTATGTCACTTTGGAGACGTCTTGTATTTGGAGTATACATGGCAAACAATCCATGTTGTATACAATTTACGTTTATTTTTGATCTTCCTCTTATTTCATTCCGTTTGCAAAGACTAAGCCGTTTCAAGATCTACCAGCAATTTAAAAATGTCTGCAAACAACAATAATCAATATATTAGTCGTGAATCACATTGGTATTTTCATTCTTGGACTTGATGGATAAGCAATGCACGATTAAAATAAATAGTAACGAATTGCTGCGGTGTCTTTGCTGGCTGTAGTGTATCGTTGGTGTACGAATTTTTCCAAAATAAGAAGTTTTCGTAAATAATAAGGTCATTTAATAAGACGAATTTCTGACGGGGCTTGTTGGTTAGAGAAAGATAGCTATGGATGTCTAAAAACTTGCTCTCGGAGGGGATCGAACCCTCGACCTTCGCATATACTCAGGTACTGCTTATAAGTACGACGCTCTAGCCAACTGGGCCACGAGAGCACGTCCCGATAACGCTTCTATTATTTTCGAAACTTGTTATTTCGGAAGATCAGTACTAGACTTGCGGATAAAAGAAGGAAATGGTCTCGATTCATTGATCTCCGGGTTATGCGCCCAGGAGGCTTCCACTGCGCCAAACTGTTCCTTTCGCTGAATCATCCGAACAACGTGAAAGAAATTTAGATAATGTTAGACATGAGGTCCTGCCGAAGATTCTGCCGAGACTTGATTACAGATAGTTGGATCCACAGTCCAAAGTGCTAACCATTACACCACAAACTTTTGAAGGATTGTGGACTCATATTATTGAACAAAAATTGCTGTACTTTGTTTCGGTAACGTGGCCGAGTGGTCTATGGCGCTGGTTTTAGGCACCAGTCATTTCGATGACGTGGGTTCTAATCCCACCAAAAACAATTCCTTAGTCCTTCGGCAGCCGTCGTCGCGTCATATCAATGGCGTCAGCGAGTGAATACGATTCTCGTCGTCATAGGAATATGGCCCAAAGGCGTCCAAATTTTTTTCATATGGACTTTTTGACGTCATTTTCCTAATATGCATGTCAAAAATCCGTATTTGGTTAGCCTTTGAGTTGATATGACAATTTCAGAGTTGGCTGTAAAAACAATCAGAAACCAGGAATTTTTTAAATAAATAATAAGACGAATTTCGGCCGTGGCTTGTTGGTTAGAGAAAGATAGGGATGGATGGCTAAAAACTTGCTCTCGGAGGGGATCGAACCCTCGACCTTCGCATACACTCAAGTACTGCTGATAAGTACGACGCACTAACCAACTGGGCCAGGAGAGCAGGTCCCGATAACGCTCCTATTATTTTCGAAGGTTCTGTCGAAGTTTCTGCCGAGACTTGATTGCAGATCGATAGTTGGATCCAGAGCCCAAAGTGCTAACCATTACATCACAAACTTGAAGGATTGTGAACTCATATTATTGGACAAAAATGCCTGCACATTGTTTCGCTAGCGTGGCCGAGTGGTCTAAGGCGCTGGTTTTAGGCACCAGTCATTTCGATGACGTGCGTTCGAATCCCACCGCTGCCAGTTGTTCAATAATTCGTCACCTCTGTTTTGAACCCGGATGTATGTCACCTTGGAGATGCCTTGTATTTGGAGCATTCAGGGCAGACAATCCATGTTGTATACAATTTACATTTATTTTTGAGATTTCTCTTATTTCATTCCATTTGCAAAGACTAAGCCGTTTTAAGATCTACCAGCAATTTAAAAATCTCTTCAAAGAACAATAATCAAAATATTAGTCGCGAATCACGTTGCTCTCTTCATTCTTGGACTTGATGGATAGAGTACGACAAGCAATGCAGAATTGAAATAAATAGTAACGTTTGTACAGTTTATAAGCACCACGTACTAACAAACAGGACGACGGTAGCAGGTCGTGAGAAAGGTCTTATTATTTTAGGAAACTGTCGTGTTCAGAAGAAAATGGTTGGTGGCATCGGCATGCATAAACGCTCCATAATAACAATAGCAGGAAATGGTTTCGATCCATTGACCTCTGGGTTATGGGCCCAGCACGCTTCCACTGCGCCACCCTGCTTGTTGCTACTTGGAATCAGCCAGTTGTATATATTTTCCAAATCTTGAAAACCAGGAAGCAACATATTTCCCTTAAACCTGTAATGAAGCCATTGCACCAATTCATTGGAATAGATTTTAAAACAGACAAAAAAGTGCTACAATATAGAGCCTACTGGCCACATAGCCAACAGTCAATAGCTATTGTTATTATTATTATTGAGCGTGGATGCATGCAGACATCATCCACGGATTTTGGTCGAACTTTTTCTAAAAACAACTGATTTCGTAAATCATATGGAGATTGGGGCGAATTGCTGCGGTGGTCTTGTTGGTTAGGGAAGGATTGCTAAAAACGTGCTGCCGGAGGGGATTGAACCCTCGACTTTAATAATAATGATAATAATAGCAGGAACAGATCACGATCTGCTTGACTTCTGTGTTATAGAGCCAGCAATTATTGAGCGCACAAGAGTGCGTATGTCACCCTATAGCGTTTTGGTTAAAATTGTTTTCAAAACAACAGGTTTCGTAAATAATATGGCGATTAGGACGAATTGCTGCGGTGGCTTTGTTGGCTAGTGTATCGTTGGTGTACAATTTTTTTCAAAATAACAAGTTTTCGTAAATAATAAGGACATTTAATAATTAACAATTATTGAATGAGGTTGAGCACGATATGAAGAATTATCAAGCCCGAAGTTTGCCGTTATCAACCGAAGCCGAAGGATGAGGTTGATAATGGCAAACTGAGGGCTTGATAATTCTTCATATTGTGCGAAAACCGAATTCAATAATTGTTTTATTATTTATGTAAAAAAATCAAAACAAACATTTGTATTTTATTTGTATTAAGAAAAAAACAATTCCTTAGTCCTTCGGCAGCCGTCGTCGCGTCATATCAATGGCGTCAGCGAGTCAATACGATTCTCCTCGTCATAGGAATATGGCCCAAAGGCGTCCAAATTTTTTTCAAATGGACTTTTTGACGTCATTTTGCTAATATGCATGTGAAAAATCCGTATTTGGTTAGCCTTTGAGTTGATATGACAATTTCAGAGTTGGCTGTAAAAACAATGAGAAACCAGGAATTTTTTAAATAAATAATAAGACGAATTTCGGCCGTGGCTTGTTGGTTAGAGAAAGATAGGGATGGATGGGTAAAAACTTGCTCTCGGAGGGGATCGAACCCTCGACCTTCGCATACACTCAAGTACTGCTTATAAGTACGACGCACTAACCAACTGGGCCACGAGAGCAGGTCCCGATAACGCTCCCATTATTTTCGACGGTTCTGCCGAAGTTTCTGCCGAGACTTGATTGCAGATAGTTGGATCCAGAGCCCAAAGTGCTAACCGTTACATCACAAACTTTTGAAGGATTGTGAACTAATATTATTGGACAAGAATGCCTGCACATTGTTTCGGTAGCGTGGCTGAGTGGTTTAAGGCGCTGGTTTTAGGCACCAGTCATTTCGATGATGTGGGTTCGAATCCCACCGCTGCCAGTTGTTCAATAATTCGTCACCTCTGTTTTGAACCCGGATGTATGTCACCTTGGAGATGCCTTGTATTTGGAGCATTCAGGGCAGACAATCCATGTTGTATACAATTTACGTTTATTTTTGAGATTTCTCTTATTTCATTCCATTTGCAAAGACTAAGCCGTTTTAAGATCTACCAGCAATTTAAAAATCTCTTCAAAGAACAATAATCAAAATAGTAGTCGCGAATCACGTTGGTATCTTCATTCTTGGACTTGATGGATAGAGTACGACAAGCAATGCACAATTGAAATAAATAGTAACGGTTGTACAGTTTATAAGCACCACGTACTAACAAACAGGACGACGGTAGCATGTCGTGAGAATGGTCTTATTATTTTAGGAAACTGTCGTGTTCAGAAGAAAATGGTTGGTGGCATCGGCATGCATAAACGCTCCATAATAACAATAGCAGGAAATGGTTTCGATCCATTGATCTCTGGGTTATGGGCCCAGCACGCTTCCACTGCGCCACCCTGCTTGTTGCTACTTGGAATCAGCCTCACTTGTATATATTTTCCAAATCTTGAAAACACGGAAGCAACATACTTCCCTTAAACCTGTAATGAAGCCATAGCACCAATTCATTGGAATAGATTTTAAAACAGACAAAAAAGTGCTACAATATAGAGGCTACTGGCCACATAGCCAACAGTCAATAGCTATTGTTATTATTGAGCGTGGATGCATGCACACATCATCCACGGATTTTGGTCGAACTTTTTCTGAAAAAAGCAGATTTCGTAAATCATATGGAGATTAGGGCGAATTGCTGCGGTGGTCTTGTTGGTTAGGGAAGGATTGCTAAAAACGTGCTGCCGGAGGGGATTGAACCCTCGACTTTAATAATAATGATAATAATAGCAGGAACTGATCACGATCTGCTTGACTTCTGTGTTATAGACCCAGCAATTATTGAGCGCACAAGAGTGCGTATGTCACCCTTTAGCGTTTTGGTTAAAATTGTTTTCAAAACAACAGGTTTCGTAAATAATATGGCGATTAGGACGAATTGCTGCGGTGGATTTGTTGGCTAGTGTATCGTTGGTGTACAATTTTTTTCAAAATAACAAGTTTTCGTAAATAATAAGGACATTTAATAATTAACAATTATTGAATGAGGTTGAGCACGATATGAAGAATTATCAAGCCCGAAGTTTGCCGTTATCAACCGAAGCCGAAGGCTGAGGTTGATAATGGCAAACTGAGGGCTTGATAATTCTTCTTATTTTTCACCCTG